TTTTAATTTCATGAAAAAATAATTCCACCAATTCCTTTATTTATCCTGTATAAAGAAATGTGAAACATCCTTGTATTTAGCTGCAACTTTCTTTAGTCTTCTCATTTAATTTATAGTAAGAATGTAAAGACTGGTATGATTGAATTCCTCAAATAGTGTATCTAGCCATTCACCTAAATGTAAGACAAAAATCTTACGTTTAGAATGCCAGTAGCTAAATCAGTATTTATATGTGGTCTAAAAATCTCACTGTTCTCACTACCCTCTGTTCCTTTCTCCTGCTTTGTCACTGCGAAAATATAAGGGAACTATGAAGGACAGAGGCATTTATTATTTTTCTTTGTTTCGTGGGTTGCCATGGCCAAAGAACTCTCACCACCAAGTAACCTGCTAGGAAGTGATAAGTCTCTTTGTATTTATTTAGCTAGTCTGATCCTCTGAAAGTTGGATGGTTTGTGGCTAGGACCATACTTCTGAGGTTTTCCAGCATAGTGTAGCACTTGCCAAAGTTTACACTCTGCTTGAAGAGCCTTTTAGAACTCAGAGCCACCCACACACCACAGTGAAGCGTCAGACAAGGAGTTTGTGGGGGCAAATTAATATACCTTAATTGATTCAACTTTCCCTAATGGTTGGACATGCTTGTTGTTTTTGTACCTGCCCTGCCTCCATACAGATACAGTGACTATTAATAATTTTGTACATAGGTCTTTTTTCCCTTTCAGTAATGTCCTTGAGATATAATTCCAGCAATAGGATGGCTGAGTCAGTTTTGTGACAGTTACTATATATCGTTATATTGTTCTTCCAAGTGTTTGTATTTGTGTGTAGTCTCCCCCTGTTGCAACATCAAAGTGAGTTTTTGTCACATTTGTATTTTGCTAATTTAATGAATAAAAGATAGTATAGCTCAATTAAATTTTTTATCATAATGTCCCATATTTATTAGGCCATTGGATTCACATATTGTAGGTAAAGTTTGAATAAATCAAAAAGGCATTACCTGAAAGAGTTCAACTTTACTTTTCTTTCAAAACCAAATGATTTATAGTTAGCTAAAAGATGATACACAGCTACATTATATTGTTTATTGACTCTTTGAGGACCATTGACCTGTCATGCACCCCTACATAACCACTGTCCACAATTTATAGTTTTAGCCAAATAGGGTTTACCCTTACATCTCCTCTTCCCAAAAAATGCAAATCAGTTTTGCAGTATTTATCTTCAGAGGATACAGACCCGTAATAATACTTGAGGTTTGTGTCTGGGCCTGTATTTGTGACTGGTGCTGCTGAGGGGCTGGCTGGGGACTTCTAACGGCAGGAAAAGGTGAAGCGATCCGTGCAGCTACAGGGGAATGTTGTCGAGAAGTCTGAGACTGGTGCTGCTTGTGTTGCTTTTGCTGCTGCTGCGTTTGGTGTTGATGAATTTTATGGCTCTGTTGCTGCTGATGCAAATGCTGTTGCATGTGGTGTTGAAAATGCCGCTGTTGCATTTGTTATTGGATTTGCTGATGCATCTGTTGCAGCTGCTGCTGCTGTGACTGTATCTGATGCCGTTGAGCTTTCACTGTGATGGTGTGGCAGCCATGGCTGTTCCCATCCGGCTAGTTAATGAGGCCGAAATGTTTGTTGGCATGTTGGCTGCAATGTTAACAGTAGCTACAGTCTGATTCTTTGGCAGCCTTGTGGTTAGTTGTTTAGGAGCAGTTACCCTGGGAAGTGACTGTGGACGAGTTTGACATTGGTGCATGTTGAGAAAGAGGAGCAGGGAGGATGATAAATTAGTAGACGCCAGAGCCCACTGTAATCGTCTGTGCTTTTGCCATTCTGCAGCAGCCTTGGAAGCGAGACTTGATTGATAACCAGCAAGTGCCTTTAGGTATTCTTTCTTGGCAGCCTCAGTTTTCCTTTCGCGTCCTGCTTTTGTCCTTCATCCAGGCTCTCTCACATTGATACTGCTATTTTTTGAGGCCTCTCCAAAGGTTGCGCTGGGGTTTTGACCTTTAATTGCAGCTTCTGTGGCTCTAAAGAATAGGACATAGGCTGACACTGGTTTCTGTGGCTTATTGGGATCTTTCTTTTTCTTCGGAATTTTGGGCTTCTTGCCAGAATCTGGAGCAGCTCTTCTCTCTCCAGTGATTCTGTTTCATCTGCATTGTCTTCACTGATAGAGCTTAATGGGGAAGGAGTTACTGATTTGCTTGCAGGAGGTGAAGGAAATGTGTGAGGCACTGTGGCACCCCCTAAATTTACAGCTGGGCACTGAGCTTAGATTAGTTAATGATTGTGAGGTGGGCAGCAGGTAGAATTCCAGAATGAGCATTATTATCATATAGACATTAGACTTCATGTTTAGGGAGTGAGCTTGATGATATGACAGCATGCTCCATATGCAATTCACTGCCATGGATTACACTATCCTGTTCACAAGGTTTCTTGATATTGTAAAAGAAGGAAGATGCAAGGCTTGAAGAGAAACTGAGGTATAAATTCATCTCCCTGTGCGGTAAGTGGATCACTGAGGCCTCCGAAGGGTAACAGCACATCTGACATTCCCAAGGTCTGATTCTGGAGGCAGAGTGGTCGGTGGGATTTCGGACTATGGAATGTCTCTCTGGCAGCGAGGAAGGCATCATCAGTCATATTCGTGTAGTTGTTATTGTTTCCACACAAACCAAGGTTATGTTTTAAGGGAGAGTCTTGATGCTCTTCATAATGTGAACTTCAGAAGGGGCTCCCTTTGTGTCTGATGGGTGGGCGACTTGCTGTAGCTGTAGTACTGTTCATAGGTGGGTATTATTGATTTGTATTTTTCCTTTCCAAAATTGTCTTGAGGTCCTTAGACCAGTTCTCCATTGGGAATGATGTATTACTTTTCAATTTCTTGTTAATTCTAAATGTAAGACCTTTATCAGACGTATTTATCAGAAGTATTGTTTTCCCAACCCATTTCTTTTCCTTAATTTAGAGGCAGTGCTTTTTATTCTAAAAATCATATCTAGTAATTTTTTTGTGTTCAATAATTTCTCTACTTTTTTGTTAACATTTTTTTTCTCACCACAATTGATATAAGCTTCTTGAAGGCAGGGAGCAAGGACCATTGGTCATTTTGTTTTGTGCCTTGTACGTAGCAAGAGCTTACTGACTGCTTGCTGGGTTGAATTGAAATTCTCATACCTTTTCTCAGATGAAAGTGAACTATCTTAAAACTAGAAGGTTGGTAGTTAATAGTTTGTTACTGAGTTCACTTCAGTATCCTATAATCAAAAGATTAAAAAAGTAAAATGGTGAGCCTAAAAGAAACTTTATTTTTAGGCTCAGAGTACACAATGATTTTCTTAATTTCTTTTAGAAAAGCCTCAGATTCCCTGTAGGCTCCAGGAGCAGGGAATGATAAATGATAAACAATTAGCAAAATGAGGTTAGTTCCACTGTAAGACTCCTGCTGGCTCTTGATTTGTTTCTTCCCTGGAAACAGATAATGTAATTGAACTTTATTTCTTGGTTTAAATAAACATGAGAAACTGTGAAACAAATATTTCTTTATCATATTTCGAAAACACTTTCTGAGCGCTGTGTTGATAGAGTTAATTTCTTCCTAGTTTAATTTCTGCCCATAACTGGGTAAAGATGAAAAATAAAACATGCCATCCTCTCTAGAAGTTATATATTGCTTCCTAACATCATAGCTTGCCTAAATTGCAATTCTGAACCAGTTCAAGAAGCTTTCAACCTTTTATCTCCAAAATAAAGTAATAGTAAACCTAAATACAGAGAGTTCCTGATGTATTATATTTAATCCCAGATGCTGGCTTTGTTAAACAGATTTTTAAAATAAGCTATAAACTCCTTTTTCTTCTACCCCTTTTGTAAAAGTCAGCTTATTCAATAGATACAGAATTGCCTGTCTCCTCAAATAAAATTCTGATTAGCCTGCCTTTGATGATTTTTTTTTCTCATTTTGCCTTCCCTGCTTTCTTCTTATTCTCTGAATCTCTCTTGTTGGGGGGGGGGGAGATATATTATGGTGAGTACTTCCCTATTAGGATAATGTACAGAAACAGTTTTTGTTTCATTGTTTTCTCTTACATGCCGAATGTGCTTTTTTTGTCGTCAGAGTTTGTGCATCTCGTCTCTCCCTCTGATGGGCACTAAATTATAGTAACAGAAAGGAAAATACACAATTTTCTCTGCAGGACTTTCATTGAGCATTCAAAAAGGCCCTGGTGGAACATCCTTTTCTCCAAGTGAAAGCCTCATTTGAGAAATGAGCTGTGTTGGCACGTTGGCCCTGTTCTCTAGAAGAGGCGGCAGAGGTGGTAGAGTCACAGCACTTGAATTTTAATCTTGACTTTGCTCTTTGACTTCTCCTAGAGAGGAACAGGTAGCAAATGTGGTGTAGTAAGAAGAGGGCTAGTCTTGGAATTAATCTCTCTGAGTTTCAGTTTGCTGATTGATAAAACTGGCATAGGGATACCTTTAGTACCTAACTCGTGGGTTGAGGAGATGATGTACATAAAGTGCTTTGGTGACTTTAAAGCATTATTAAAATACTAGCTTCCTTTTGTGACTTTGGGCACTTCACTTAACCTTTCTGGGCCTCAGTTTCCCCCTTTATAAAGTGGGAGGGTTGGACCATTTGATCTCTGAAGTTTCTCACTTCTGAATACGGTGATCTTCTCCTCTGCCTTCAAGCTGCACTGAGCCAACAAGAGCTATATATCTAGTAAATATAACATTTGATATTAGTGTTAGAACTCCCTGTGTGAATTAAGAGTAACAAAATGGTGGTGCTGTGCTTAGATAAGCAACGCGTTTTAATGACTTGATATGTTGGTGGCATGTTAACTCTGGGAGAGCTATTAAACATCTTAGGAATTTAAGAAAAAATGGTACTTGTAGTACCTACTTACAGGATTCTGTTATGGAAGATGTAAGAACAGACACTTGTGGTATAAGACTCTTTGTATCTTACTGGCTTTGTTCTTTTTGCAGGAGTAAAACACAAGTCTTCTCTGACAGCCGAGGACTGCTTTGAGTTGGGCAAGATAGCGTACACAGAAGCTGATTACTACCACACTGAGCTGTGGATGGAACAAGCGTTAAAGCAGCTGGAGGAAGGAGAAGTGTCCACCCTTGACAAAGTCTCAGTTCTAGACTATTGGAGCTATGCTGTGTACCAGCAAGGGCACTTGGAGAAAGCGCTTCTGCTCACCAAGAAGCTTCTTGAACTGGGTAGGTGAGAACTGATCCTCTCCCGAAGGTATTCCTGACCTAGCCTTTTCTGAAATAGGGGAGCTGCCTGCCTGCCTCCTTCTTCTCTCTCATGTTCTCACAAGAACTTTCTAAGGATCAATTTTGATAAAACTAGACAATGCCATTCTGTTAAAGACTGCTTGAGTTTCTCTACCTTATTCTCTTAAGGAATTTCATAATCCCATTGTAAAATGGCTTATTCAATTTAAAACTAATGCAGTATTAAATTATAGCCTGCTTCCTAATTTTTATGGGTACAGAGTTTGGCATGGGGTTTTTGTTTGATATATTATACTTTTTTAAAAAAATTTCATTGAGTTAAAATAGATTTTCACACTTGTCAGTACTTTGAATTTAAAAATAAATTATGACAGTGCTAATAATATGGGAGAGATACAATATGGGTTTAATCCTTAAGCAGTTATCATAATTATTAACATATTATAATGTACATTGTATATAGCAGTTATACAGTTTATATTATGTGATATAAATGCTTAATTCTTAAACATTTTATTAGTTTAAAAAATGAGGTTTAGACCCTGTAGCTCAACTTAGGTTGCCATATTTTTTAATTTCACTCTTTTTAAAGGAAGCGAGGTTTTCTTTCTGCAGAACCAGAGCTCTAGGATTCTCTTGAAGTTTGTCTTACTGGAAATCTGGTTCACATTTCCTTCCTAATATCTTTGTTCTGTAGATGCACAACTGTTACTTGGCAGGGCATATAACATAATGTAAAAGTAACCCTTGAAATTCAGAAAGTGTTTTCACTTTGAACTCTTTCCTAACGGAGAATAATTAGAGTCATAAGTATCACGGGTAACATCTGAACTACGATCAGAAGTCATTTTATAATCTAGATGATAGATACAGGTTTCTAGACTTGTTTTCACTTGTGTGATGTCTAATTTTCTCTTCCAAAGTTTTAACCTCTCATCCTTGAGAGTAGTAGGCATCTCTGACTAGCAATTCTGTGGTAGTTATTGGCTTCTAGCTTATCTGGAAATTATGAATGTAACTTATTTTCCTCTTCCTTCTTGGAATGTTGGGATTAAAATGCTCCTAGACTTCAGAGGCAGGCCAATTCTGCTGTAATTTGTTGGTGGCGGCGGTCATTGCTTTTCACCTCTGCCCATTATTTTCTTCGTACTTAAATAAGATCTCTGATTTTTGTCTGTATGACATTCCTTTCGCCAATGCAGATTGCAAAACCTCTGTCTTTAAGAATTACTGAAAAAAAGTTCATCCCACTATAGCTATTCTGGTGATTAGTCTCTCAGAACTTAGCTATGGAGGCATCATGGAAGATCAGTTAGGAAAATGCGGTAATGGAAAGTGTTGGACTTTAAGTCAGAGGACCCAACTTTGGGTTCACTACCTCTATGACCTTGGATAAGTCACTTAACCTTTAAGGCCTCAGTTTCATCATTTGTGAAATGAAGTAGTTGGACTAGATGGACCTCTGAGATCCCTTTGAGCTCTAAATCCTTGATCCTAGGTTGGTCCTTTGACAGACGTTGATGGACCGAAACTTGAAGTTGTTTTATTTCAGTGTAGGACCTATCAAAGCTTGTGCTCCACTAGCATAGCCTTTTGGGAGCGCCGGATCACCTCTGTGACATAATGAAGCACGAGAATGAGAGATGTTAGTAGACATCCCACATACTAATGACTTTTTTTGTTTCGGTCTCAGAAAAATCCTTTCCCTTGTTCTGGACACAACCATGATGGGTAAGACTTTCTTCACTGATAACCAAGAAGTTGTGGTTGAGTAAATTTCCAAAGTAGAAGTGTAGTATCTGTTAGCCTGAAGTAAATACTTCTCCTTCAGGACTGCTGTGTTCTTACTGTGTGCTGATCCTTAAACATCTGTGGTCTTTCTTACTGTGTCACTAGATCCTGAACATCAGAGAGCCAATGGAAACTTAAAATATTTTGAGTATATAATGGCTAAAGAAAAAGATGCCAATAAATCTACCTCAAAGACTGCTGATGACCATCCTGATCAGGAAAGTGCTCCTAAAAGAAAGGAACATGGCAAGGATTACCTGTCTGAAAGGCGGAAGTATGAAATGCTGTGCCGTGGGGAGGGTCTCAAAATGGTAAAGTGGAACAGCCAACTCGTGTGTGTGTGTGTGTGTGTGTGTGTGTGTGTGTGTGTGTGTGTGTGTGAGGGGGGGGGGCACCTGAAAATGCCAGAAATTGATACTCAAAGCATCATATAGGGAAGGTCAAAAGTGCCTTTATACCCAGGGAATAGATATTAAAGTGGCTGCAAATATAGAAATTTTTCTTATAATAATGAAAATGACCTCCACTAATTTGTAAACATAACATTTGTGTTATCCCAGTCAGCGTACATGACAAAAGATTATTTAAGCCATTTCTAGTGTAGGTCCACAGGGACTTTAGGCTCTGCTATACTTCATTTGGGGTCTGTCAACATGCATTTGTTAATTATCTACTTGTTGTAGAGGTGATGGTAGGTGCTGGGATGCAAAGAAGACCCTGCCCTCAAGGACTGCCTTACATTCTATTTCCGATACAGATTCAAGTAGGATTATTTAGGACTGTCACTCATACTATGTAGCATCGCTCTTAGTAGCATCACCCATAGAAGACTAGCATCCTGATATTGGAAGGGATCTTTTTAGACCTGTCTTTGAGACCTTGCCAGAATCCTGTCTTGCAGTGTCCTGGACCGGTGATTATCCAGAGTGTCTGAACACTTAGAGAGGAACCTCACATCACATTCTGGTTTGGGGTAGCCACCATTTCACAGAGTTCTGCTCCCTTGTGACATCCCCACACTGGTCCTTGTTCTGTCCTTATCCCCTGGAGCAGCATAGAACAAATATAGGTGCCTATTTTGTGAAGGGTCCTGTGCTACGTACTATCTGTACAAAGTCACAGATGAGAGACCTAGGTTCAAGAAGCTTGCATTCTACTGGGGAATGCAGTGTATGCACAGATAAGCAAATATAATAGCATATGCAAAGTAGTTTGAGCAGCAGGAGAACTTTTAACAGTGGGGAGTGGGAGGGAGGAAATGACAAAGTCCTCACATAGAAGGTGGCACCTGAAATGTGCTTGAAGCAACCTGGGGAGTCTAATGGTCAGAGAGGTGAAGAGAGAGTCCATTTCAGACATGAGGCACAGCCTTTGCAAAAGCACAGAGGTGGGAGATGAATCCCATGGGTGGAAAACCGCTAGTAGGCCAGTAGAATAGAGTGTGGGAATGAAAGTGATGTAAAATAAGACTAAAGATAAGTGGGAGCCAGATTGTGCAGGACTTCAAATGCCAAGTTGAGAATTTTGTGTTTTATCTTAGAGGCAATAGGAAGGTAATAAAAATTATTATTATTATTATTACTATTATTATTGTTAAAAGAGTCAGACCTATATTTTAGGAATAGCATTTCAGCAGCTATATTTTGGAAAAGGCAAAGACTTGAGGTGAGAAGATCAGTTAGGAGGCTGTTACAGGAAGAGAGTAATGAGAGCCTGAACTAGGGTGGTGGGCGTGTGCATAGAGAGGAGACAGATGCCAGAGATGAAGAGGGGGTCAGTGACGGTGTGTTATAAGCTACAGAAAGCTCAAGTAGAAAGAGGACTGAAAGAAGACTGGGTTTAGCAGTTAAGAGATTGTTGGTAACCTTGAAGAGAACAATTCAAGTGGTGTTGACTGATTGCAAGAGGCTGAGAAGTAAGAAGGGAATGGAGGTAATGGGTGTAGATGAACCTTCCTTCACATATGATAGTGGTGAACAGTTTGTGAAGCTAGCCCTGTTTCCCTCCACTACGCACACTTTGAAGTCCTCTTTCCAGGCCTCAATTACATTTAAGCTTCTCCTACAAAATGTATTTTATTTTCCACTCAGTAAAAGGGAATTGATGTCAATATTAAATGTGGAGATTTTAGTAATGTCTTGAGGAAGAATGATCAGATCTTATCAATACTGGTAGCATACATAATGAATTACTGTGCAAAGTATAGAATTCTGTGAATATATCATCTCTTTCAACTTGAACCAGTCTGTTTGGCTTGATTTTGTTTTTTTAGTTTTATTCAAGTAAAAACTTCAAAGTGTGGAGATTCAATAGAAAGAATTTCACTTTAATATTTCCTTAATATGCACAAAATGTTTCTTTAAGGTGTCTGAAATACTTAATTTCCAAGGTCAATGGTGAACATTTACATGTTTCTAACATAATGGCATAGGAAAAGGAAATAATGAATTTGGGCAGGGAGTATCTTTTGAAGAGGTATAAATCACTTAGAAAAAGGAGATGTCAGTAACTCATGTACTCCTAATGTCTTCCACGAATGAATTCAAACCATATTTGCTATAACAAATATTATCTGCTAAATGAGTGTTGTCATTTGGCTAATGATTAACATCAGAAAGTCGTTCATCCATTTACTCACCATATTTATCAGGCACCAACTGTATGTGTAAGGTGTGGTAGGGTAGAAAGAATGAGATGCGAGAGTTAACCTCATGAGCTTGCAATGTAGTATGGATGATAACGCCAGGGTGGGTGGGTGGGGGTGTGTGTGCGTGCGCGCACGCATGTGCCTGTGCATGTTCATAGACTCACAGGACGGCGTCCTGTACTTCATGTGCTTTCCCATTCTGATAGAGGTGAGAGACTTCCTGTTTGGAGAACATAAGCTGTTCATGTGTCAGTGCTTCAAAAATTACTTGTGGCAATTACTTAAAAAGATAGCATGACTTGCTTTTTAATTGTATTCATTTGACACTTGTCCTCCTCAGGGATTCCCCAGGCACACCCAAAAGTTGTAAAATTAAACACCAACCTTCCCCTCAAACACCCCCTCCCATGCAAAGAAACAAACCCTGAAATCAACAGCCTTGGGAATCAAAGGGTAAAGCAATTAAAAATATTTTGCGAGTCTCAGTAAAGTTCTGTGTTGCTCTTTACAGAACAGAATGAGGATAGCAGTTATAAGTCAAACCAGTAGGTAGAGAACAGAAATGGAAACAGTCCACTAAGTTTCTGATTTGTTGTGGACATTAACCCATTGACTGATTTATCTGTGACACATCTTTGTCCATTCTGTAGGCCAGATCAAATGGTAGAATACAAATTAAACTTATTTTTCCTCAGTATAATCAGAATGTTTATCCCTTCCTGGGACATTTCCTTTTGTCTTTTCTTTTTTTTTTAGGAGGTGTTCAATGGATTGATTTTATTGTCACGCTGCTCTCTAGTTCTAAGAGATCTGGACATTTTTCATTTATGATTTCTTAAAATATGAATTCTAGGCCTTTTTTTTAATGATTTTCAGGGAGCCCAGTGATTCTTTAGTTATTTCTCTTTAACCTGTTTTCAACATCAGTTATTTTTGCTATCAGATACCTTATATTTTTAATCTTCTGATTTTGTTTTAATATCTCTTACTGTCTCTTGGAGTAATTTATTTCTGTTTGATCTATTTTGGTTTCAGGGAGACCATTACTCGAATAAGGTTTGGCACTTTTCTTTTAAGTTATTTATTCTTCTTCAGTTCCTTCTTCTAGAGCTTCTATTTCATTTAAAAATACTTTTATTTCTTCTAAGGATTCATGTAGTCTTTATGGAAAATTGTTTTTTTTCCCTTTGATTTACTACTTTTACTTCTTATAGAGTTAGACTTGCAATAATTCTTTTTTTTTTTTTTTTTAGTGAGGCAGTTGGGGTTAAGTGACTTGCCTAGAGTCATACAGCTAGGAAGTATTATGTGTCTGAGGTCAGGTTTGAACTCACGTCCTCCTGACTTCAGGGTAGGTGCTCTATCCACTGCGCCACCTAGCTGCCCCAACTTGCAATAATTCTTGATACTAGTTGAGGTCTTCATTGATAGGTTGGTTTCTCCAACTATAGTTTCTGAATTGGAGCTTTGTTCCTGGGGTAGGATAGTCATCCTCGCTTGATCTCCCCTTGAACTGGCTGTGTTCCAGCACTGATCTCTACTTCCCAGTGTTAATCCTTCTCCCTACCCCGCTTCTGTTCTCCAGTCTTTGAGCTAGAGAGATAGATCTTCAGGACCCTCTATAGCAGCTCAGAACAGAGTGCTGGTAACCTCAGGATCCCCTGAATATTGGGGGTGTCCCAGTCTGAGCTCTGTCCCTCTTCTTATTGCCAGCCCCCTGCATCTTCCAATGTCCCCAACTGTGGGCTTTTTCTGAGGGTTTTCCATTCTTGCTGCCTCCAGACACAGAGCTTTGCAGGCCACACCGGTTTCTAGCCCGTCAGGCGAGGAAATTGGGATTCTTTGCCATGCTGGCTTTGAGGATGGTTTCTTTTTCTATTGCCTGAGGGCTTCTGGCTGACTCTTTTTTTTGTGCAGCTCTGAGGTTGAAAAATCACTTATTGTATATTCCCATTGGACTTCGTAGTCATTATGTAGTTGGATATGAATGTCAGCTTTTTATTGCAGTAGGTATTGAGTTAGGCAATCTGTGTCCCTTCAGGCAAATTAGCCAGAATTTTGTGCATAGCTTTTAAGTGTTAAAAAGAGGATCTTGAAATTAATCCTAGAGGTAATCGCTACTGGTTTATTGAGCAGAGAAGATATTTGGTTGGGCCTGTGCTTTAGGACTGTCACTTTGGAAACTATATGGAGAGTGGATTATAGAGGGACTTGAGGCAAGGTAAGTTAAAAGGTAATGAGGGTGTGAAATCGGGTCTTGGTTGCACGATTGGAGATCAGGAAAGGGACCTGAGGGATGTCTTCTTAGATTTGACCCAGTGTTCTAGACTCGAAAGGTCTTTTTGAAATTTGACTCTGCTATTCAGTATGTTAGCTCTGCTTTCCAGTATGGTGACACCTGCAGATTTGAAGCTATTCCAAGTCACTGATGTTAAATCTCGCGTATCCCTGGCGGTGTTCCATGAATCTTCCCAGGTTGACATCGAACCATTTAAATGACTTTTCTTGGGGCCCAGCCACTCAGCCGGTTTTGAATTGATCTAACTTTGCTCTTGTGAGAGCTCTCTTCTAGTTATCTTTTTCACAAATATAGCATAAGAGATTTATCAAATGCTTTGATAAAATCTAAATAAAAGCAGTAACTTCAGCATCACCCTGATGTACCAGTTTAGTGACCCCATAAACAAAAACAAACTAAAAAAGGACATAAGGATAGTTTGACATGGTCTCTCCCTTTTATGTTTTGTATCAGTCACTCCATCCTCCAGTTGATGGACATCCATTTTGTTTTTAGCTTCTTTGCTTCCATGAAAAAAAGTACAGCTATAAATATTTTGATATAAGGGAGTTTTCTCTCTTGGACTTTCTTGGGGCTTATACCTATATGAGTTGAATTTCTGGGACAAAAAATAAGAAGAGTTTTGTGATTTTTCTCAAGTTATTTCAAATTGGAATGGCCCTTTCTTGATGCAACCCTGCTGGCTCTCTGTGGGCATCCCATCCTTGTCTATGTATTCACTAAGCCATTCTTTCCCTAATATGGTGTAGAGTTTTGCCAGAAATTTAATTAAAGCTCACAGGTTTACAGTTTGCAGACTTTATTATCTTTTTTTTTTTTTCAAAAGAGAATGAAGACATTTGTCTTTTTTCATTCCACCAGCACCTGCCCTGTTCTCCATGATACTTTAAGGATATCTGGAAATTATTTGGGAGAGCGGGTTGAAAACCCAAAGAAAGCGCTGCTTTATAATAAGGAAGCTGCCCAATGACTATGAAGGAATCTTTGACACCTGGAATTTTATTTTGATGAAAAACACCTATTTCTTCCTTCATTGCCATCCTTCTTCTCCACAAAAACAAACAAACAAAAACCCCATAACAAAATTCATTTTTCATTCTGAAAGTCAGATTGTTTTTAATGTAAAGAAGAGTCACTGTTTGCCAAAGCTCTTTGAGATAATTTTATTATATGAGAAATAACCCTTTTCCCCCAACAATGTAAATTAAATTTACCTGGGAATTTCTTACTTATTAGTCCTGTATCCTTTCTAGTGATTGAATATTATTACTATTCACAATACAAAGACTATAGTGTTTTCCTAATAGATTGAAATTTTCCCCTACATAGCACCAAAGAAATGCATAACATCTGCTTTAAGGTGGCCAATTTACTGAAAGGTCTGGAATTTCTTACAAAGTACTTGGAGATTCTAGTTTGCAAACTCCAGAGAGAATTTTGAACTATTTTTCCATTCTTCACCTTTATTCTCAGACCCCTCGGAGACAGAAGAAACTCTTCTGCCGCTACCATGATGGAAATCGGAACCCTAAGTTTATTTTGGCCCCAGCCAAACAAGAAGATGAGTGGGACAAACCTCGCATTATTCGTTTTCATGAAATAATTTCTGATGCTGAGATTGAAGTTGTTAAAGACCTAGCAAAACCCAGGGTAAAACTTTCATTTGAATTTTTTGGAGTTTTGGAGATAGTGCCACATGCAAGAACTTGGTTTGGTTTTTTTAAGACTGACAATTTTATAGCAGTTTTCTTTTTCCTTTCTAAGCTTTTAAGAATGGACTGAACTAGATTGTGACATACCTAATCTATTTTTGTTGGGTTATGGCTTAACCTAAATGGGAATCTTAGCAGAACGCATAACATCTTATGTAAATGTAGCTGTTAGATTCTGTTTGTGCCAGTTTCTTTCCCAGTATGTTGTCAATACATGCAGATTTACATTGTAATTATATTTGAACGTATCTTTGAGAAAAACATATATGATACTTTTTAAAAAAAAGATAGTTCTCCTTTCAGCATTATGCCCAGATGCTTTTTATGTTCTGGGGTTTTGTAATCCACTAACCTGGGAAGGTTTCTGCTTTTCCACACCTTCAGTGGAAAATGCATTCAGAAAATGCAGTTGAAATATTTCATTTAGTTTTGGTCCCTTGTTACTATGTTTTAATGCTTGCTTATATGTTTATAGTCTCAACGGTATCATGCACTGTTGTAGGGGATAATTCATCATTTTCTGGCTCTTATTCCAGCCCTTATTAGTCCCATTAAATAGCTAAATAGCACAAACATGAGTATGTAAATGATGAAAATGAATTTTTATTTCACAAGACTGTGCCAGGAACTAGATTAAAATGTCAATTCATGGTCCAGGCCCTCTTTTTTCCCATTAGCTCATTTTAAAAGATGTTTTGTAATTGTAGAATTGAACCGACTGCTTTTGATTGTGTTGGAAAGAAAACAAACTGCCACCATTTGCATACAGAATACAGAATAAACAGTAGAGGAGATTGTTAATTTAATGTGAATAGCTTCCTTGGTTCCTTCAAAAATGAAAGGTTAAAGTTTTTTGAGCCTCTTAATTGAATTAAAAAAAAAATCTGAATTAAGCCATAACAGCTCTTCAAATTGGTGTTCTTTAATTTCTTACCAACAGAGGAGCACTTTGTAAATTGAGGAAAAGTGGTTTACCATGTAATGGCTCTGTGCGTTAGTCCTTAATCCTGGGGCCCTGAAATGGAAATCTTACAATTTATAATCTCATGCACAACAACTCTGCTACTATGTGGTATCAATTCGTCTCTGAATTTCTATCTCAGTGAATCAGTCATGTCCTATAGCTATCCCTACTAAATAATAGTAAATTTTACATGGTGTGGTATGTATGCCCTTGGCAATATTGAATATAATCAGATTTACAATTAAGTTTGTGTTTAGAGTCTTCTTTTTGAAGATGAGTCCCCATCCTATATTGGTCTCATAAGGATGTTATCTGTAGTTAACAAGTCCCTGATCTTACCAACAAAATTTACTAATCTTATTTGGATAAGACTGATCTTTCCATTTTGAACTCAACGTGGCTACATCCTGTAATCTTTAGAATTTAAGATGGAACTTTTTTAATCTGCTTTTTTCCTTTGGCTGAGAGGAAAGTAATTCTAAATGTTGCTGATCTGTCTTAAAGTGCCTCCTTTAATGTATTTGTTATTTGCTTAAATGGACAACACTTTTAGGAAGAGTTTCTTCTCTTAAAAAAAATTAAAGGCAGAATAAAATGGCTGTTTGAAATATCCATTCTTAAAAACAATAAACATTTGAAATATCCATTTTTAAGAGATGTAATAGCCCAGTTTTAAAAAGATAGATTCTAGCTAATAAAATGCCGCTTAGCATAGGATGGACAACTGATCTCAGAGTCAGGAAGACTGGACCAGGTCCTGTCCTGATACCTACTAGGTTGTGTGATCTTGGATAAGTCTTTTAACCTCTCTTTGCTCTAGTCAACTGTCCAAGACCATAAGCTGCAAAACATTCGTTGATCTTCTTTGAAGGAGGAAGTTTTGCCACTGGGTGTTCTCTATATCAATGAGATCATAAGTCTAGATTTTTATTTTTTTAAATCATCACAAAAATTATGACTGTAGTCCCACACCTTACCATAATCCACCTCCCCCAATTCCTGTAGGGAAAAACTAGTCTGCTTTCAAGGCTCACATAGTATCTAAATCATATGAGTTTTTCATTCCCTGCCCCTCATTCCCCAACCCCTACCTCGGGATTCTGATTGGTCGGATAAATGTGATGCAATTTTTGTTTTATAATACAACTATTTTGATGGTTGGCTTCACAGCTGAGGCGAGCCACCATTTCAAATCCAATAACAGGAGTCTTGGAGACGGCCCATTACAGAATTAGCAAAAGGTAAGAGAGACAAATGCTGAATATTTTGCCCTGTAATGAGTGTTTTGTACTTCCCACAGGTATTGTGCTCATTCAGGGAGAGAAGCTTGTTTTCTAAACCAATATTTTCATTTTTGAGTCTCTAGCTCAAGTCACCGCCATTATAATACACATAGAGAAGCCACTCTTGTGTTTCACAGGTGGAGCCCCTCAGCTAGAAGTGAGGGCTTTAGTTTTTAATTAGATCCAGTGTTATTTCCAGGGAGTTAATGTGACATTTTGCAGCTTTGATCTTGAGATACAAAATATCCCTGAACGTGGTCGGATGCCTGTTTTCTTTTTCTTTGTCCCTGCCCAGAAAACTAGGCCTGGATGAGTCTGGCAGTCTCAGATACTTATTAATGTCCATCACATCCAGTGCTACAGAGAATTCACATTCTCCTCTGTCATTCTAGTATCAGCCTTCAGAAACATTTGTTCATCAGTCACATAAAATCACTTTGTCCAGAGTCTTAATCTTTGTCCCATTTGGATTTTTTTTATTTTACAAATTTGCTGACTCAGATATGGCACCAAGAGAAAATACTGCAATTTTCCCATCTCTCAAGGTATTTTTCCAAATCCTGTAAGTTGTGAACTCAGTTGTCTTACTATTTTCTCCAGAAAAGTGCTAAAAAATATCCAAACCAGAAAACTTTATTTCAGTGAATTGTTTTTTTAAAAAGATGAGTTTCTGACAACTATTAATCAGTATTGATTTTCTTCATGGAAGTCAATTTGAGTATGCATGTTATTCTCTCTGTAGATGAAACCTAGGTGAGAAAAACAAAATGCATTAACCTTCTAGAGTTTGGGGACTTCCTGTGAAACACAGTGCTAAAAGTTATTTGTAGAAAGCTTCAAATGACTTTTTAAAAAAGTGAAAGGACAACCAATTTGCCACGAAAGCTGTTTTTCCAATTCTCCTTGATTTGGAAGTGGCTCCTTTGCTGCCACATTTCTGCCAATTTGAGAGCATTCCATACTATCCAGACCAATCAGAACCTTTCTGATCATCTGTGGCTTGGCCAAAACAAACAAAACAAACAGACAAACAAACAACAAAGCCTCTTGCAAGAGTAAGTTCTTGTCCTTTCTCTTTTTTGTAGCTGAGCCGGGCTACAGTACATGACCCCGAGACTGGAAAATTGACCACAGCACAGTACAGAGTATCTAAGAGGTAAGGGGAAAGTAGCCAATGGAACATATGTGAAATTAGGAGTTCTCCAGCTGATCCCAACTGGTTCAATCTTCCGGCTTGTTCTTCCCTTTGCTTTAACTGGGAAGCAAAGTAGAATTTAGCTATGCTTATGCTTGCTGCTTTTTGGAGAATGTAAAGGATATGAAATGTAATGAAGTGGTATTTTGATAGTGGTGGTACTAATAAAAGTTACTTGCCTACCTGCATGCATTTTCTTAAATAGCTAAACTGCTGTCAAACATGTCAAAGTGAAGATGGGCTGGTTATTATTAAGTCACTTTTTAGGCAGAGTCTAGAGAAGGATGATTAAGATTTAGGCCTATTTATTATCATCATAATCTTTGGAGCTACCTAAAAAAAAAAAAATCCCCAGAGAATACCAATTCCTAAATGAAGAGGAAAAAAAATCAGCCTGCTGAATATGAGTGAAGTTGAACTTTCATTGCCGAAATAATTAAATTCCCCAAAATAAATCATATACTTCGCCATCTCTTTTTCTTCTGGAAGGAGAGGGGTCAACAGTAGAGTTGTATAATCCAAAAGGATCATCAGTAACCAAAACTTGAAAATAGGAGCTTTGGAGATGAAGCTAAAACATTATACTTACTTGGAAGTGAGTAGGCAGTTTCAGCCTATGGAGGGTAGGAAATTCAGCTGAAATAGGCATTTGATAGCATCTGTAATTCATCACCTCACTGGTGCCAAGGCTGGAAAGAGGGCCTTAATTTAGCATTTCCTTACTTTGGCATGATTCCGTGTATGCTTTAGTGCATTAGCTTAGTTTTCAGTGTGTGTGTTCTTTTCATAAACCAAAATAATCCAGTGGCACTAAATTTGTGTTTGCTACAATGTGCTTTTAGTTTGGGCCATATGAGGAGAATTCCATTGAAGGAGCCTTACTAATGGCTGCCAGTGCACAGAGAGCCTTCTCTTGGTAGCTAGGTTTGGAGTCTGCCTACTTCCTGAGGGGTTAAGACTTTTTAAAAGTCAACTTTTAGTTAAAGTGTTCTTAAACTTTGAGTGATTTATCCCAATTCTGCGATAACATAACCTTCTTCTTTAAAGTCTCACAAATACAGGGAAGTTTGTCTTTTTTCACAGAAATTAGGTTGTTATTTATTCTGGAGACTTTTGTGTCAAAGTGATACTAACTACTAAATGTATAGATTAGACTCATTTCAGTGAACTATGTAGAGAGTAAATACAAAGTGCAAACTTAGTTTATTGGAAAATTTTTTCAAGGTGCATAGATTTATAATAGGCTTTTTGAATAAATATATTGCCCTTACAGCTATGGGGCTTTTTGACTACAATTTAAAACAAATCACTATTAGAACAGCAGTCTAGAAACTTAACTTTTTTCTCATGGACTAAATATTTCTAAACATTCCAGGTTTCCTTAAAAAGAAAAAAAAAAACAACCAAACCTCACATATTAGAATGAAACCACTCTTCTGAAAGATGGAATTCCTGGATTTCTGGGAAGGGCATAGTCACAGTTGATGTAGAACGTGGCAAAGGAAGGTAGTTTAGCCAGTAGCATCAGGAGTCATGACAAACTGTGAGTAATGCCAGAATAAATTTAGTGTTGGCAAAGAGCAGATATACGTGTGTGTGTGTGTGTGTGTGTGTGTGTGTGTGTTAAAAACTGCCTGGTTAAAAAAGTTTCCATGGCACAGTAAGGTTCAGAAAGTCTGTCTTAGGAAAATTGGATCTACTACCTTTTCTTTTCCTTTTAAAATATTCTTATTACCTATAAAGCAGGAGCTAAGAAAGCAATTCTATAGAAAACTTCCAATATGATTTCAAGTCTTGTCAATATTGATTATGGTTTTTTTAAATTATTTTTTAATGCTCTTCTTCCTGAACTACTGAAACTAATATAGTGATGTAGTTGTTTTGAAATAGCATAGCATTTAGAAAGTGAATTTTACTTTTCTGATGATTTAAGAAATATTTCAAGGTGTACTTGAACTTTTTCTCTCTCCATTACAAATCTTATTTAAAAAAGTATGGTACTATAACTTGGTACTGTATTTAAGTGAATGTTTTACATTCCTTTTTTGAATTATACTGGGGGAAGGGTGAAGAGGGCAGGGAGAGAACCTCTTTCTCAAATATAGCATGAGAAAAGATTTATGTATGCTGATGTCAGTAAGCAGTAATTTAGTCTTTTGCTCTGGGACCATCTTTATTTTGAAAGGGTCAATGAAGAACTTCAAAGACTATTATTTTTTAAATTTATAAAAGATTACATCATCTTCAGCTGAAATAAGAATTTGCTTGTTCCTCCAAAAAGGGTTTCTTAGGCAAAATGTGTGTGTAGCTCTCTTTCTGTTAGAAAAGAGGACTTTTGTTTATTTCTGTGACCATCTGCAAGTTGCTGGCAAGTCACCTATGTCTTTCAAACCTAGATTTTGAAATGCTTTTTGTTTAAGAGTCTTGTCAAGGAGGAGCTAACTGTGTCTTAGCACGCAGTCAATAAACAGAGTTTAGTGTCTGATAGATGATACTCTGTAGGCAGGTTAAAAGGACCAGCTAAAGTTAAGAAACAGGATTTTATAATAAGCATGCTTTAAATTTCAGAAGAAAATTATAAGATTATATTTGATGTTGTTAGCATATTTCTGATAGTGATTTTTTTTTTTTACCAGAAAATGTACTTTGAATACTAACAAAACAGTGACAACAAAAACCCTCTCCAGTGTCTTGGCACAATGGAATGGTGCTCATCCTTGCACAGGGATTTGCTTTGGCAAAGAGAAAGGCAACCCGTTCACATGAGACAAGGGTGAGGAAGGAGGCAGTGGCAGATATATCTGAGTGGTGTGAGATGACGAGGATGGGAGAAGAGAGAGCTCACAGCAAACAGACTCAATATTTTCCGTGAAAGATGAGGCGATATGGGAGTGGGAGGAGGAGGAGCCATGGGAGGAGGAGGAGCCATGGGAGGATTGAGGAGAGATGAAAAATTTTAGGAAAGCCATTGTCTAGAGTAGAATAGTGGGTTGATAAGGGAGTGTAGAAGGATTGGCCACAATCAGTGAGGGCCCAGTTGAGGTTGTGTAACATAAATTTGTAATGGATCCCGTCAACATAGTTTCATGATTTTCTCCAATTTCATTTAGCAGCATATTAAGGCCTAGAAGAATAAAGGTAATACCTTGACTGAGGCAGGCCCAAGGCTACCCAGGAAGTGGCCAAGCCTAGGATTTGATGTACCTATATCCTGTGACTCCAATCTAGTGCTCTTTTTACTGGTGTGGCTGGGAAACAGAACCATTCCAGGAATAAGGGTAGGGGGTAGAATCAGATTCTTTTGGTTAGTGAATAAATGAAAAGACTAAGGAGTATGCAGTTTTATAAACTGTATAGGGGTGGGGGTAGAGGTGGACATGCATTTTACTTTTCAGGGTAGGGGAGATGACAAGAAATGCAAATGTATGCCTGCCTTTTGGCCCCAATCCCAATAACCATGCCCATGTCCTTTTTCTGTTTAAAAGAGGATTCACATGAAGTTTATAATGGACAAAGAAGGGAAAGACAAGAGAGATTAGATAAACATGTGATTTTTTCCCTCTGAATAATTGTTCACAAGAGAAAGTAGGTTTTTTTGGCTGCTTGTCATACCCTTCAGGTCTTGAAGGACTGCCTACATTGGTAATTAATTTTGTTTGCTTTTGCCATTCTGAGAGACTACAGTGGTTCACGCAGCTAGGAATGTGAGCCACGGTACCCGTTAGCTTTAGCGGGTAGGCATTTGCTTTTGTAGACATTGTACAATAGACTTGTGATAGCCAGGAAGTTGGACATTAGGAAACAGCTTCTGTTGTCATAGACAACCACGGACAAGTGTTACAGTTGTTGCTTTATATCAGTGGATTGTTCTGCAGACTTCTATGGAAAGTGATTTTTATGTAATGTGGATTTGCCTGTGGACATGGGGAAGAGAGAGAGGGTGGGAGGTGGAGGGAAAGGGGCCAGCACACAGTTCAAGGATAGGTTGAGACCAGGGATAGAGAAGGGAGAGCAGGAGGAGGGGGCCAGAGTCAGCCACGTGGAGGCGTGGCCGGAACCAAGAGGAAGAACATAGAAAGGTAGACACATGGGAGTCGCACATGGATATGGACAGGAGAGGAGGGCGATGACACGTGGTACCCACGTGCAGATGGACAGAATGGGGCAGTGGTGTTCTCTCTTAGCATCTGTTCTTCTGCTTTCACTTGGAGGGGGTTGGCTTTTTGGGGGAGGCATGGTGGGGTGGGAGGCTGCTGAGCACTGAGCCAAGGGGCAGGAGCGGGGAGAGAGAGAGAGCACAGTATTGTACAGTATAGTTACGTAGGTGTTTGGTTTTGGTTTTTTTTTTGGAATGCAGATTTCTTTTAGAATTTGTGTAAAGTCAAATTTGCATAATATGAATTTACATAAAATGAGAACTGTCTGTATTTTAAATGATTGGCTTTGAATCACCTGCTAGAGCATGTGAACTTCTTGCAGACTAGTCAAGTAATGGAATTGTTACTTAGTATTTTAGTTTTGCATCGGTCCTGTTAGGGAGATCAGAAAAGCAATGCCGATTTCAGATAATATTTTAATCTTAGAAAATAGTGGGAAAAATTTTTTATGACCCTTCTTATGTTCTCATGTTACTTGATATTTGATCAGAAATATGCTAGTATATTTAAAATATTTACCTGTGGAGTTTAAAAAAATAATTTTAAATGATATAGATAAGGAAGAGAAGGGAAAGATTCTTGTGCTACCTTTTTCACTTAAAGGTTCAGAGTAATTCTACCCTTCTTCTCACTACCCCATCTTCAAAACATGCTGAAACCTTGCTCTTCTGTAGAATGAATGAAAAAAAAGCATTGGTTCAGAACTTACTATGATAGTAGGCGCCATAGTAAGAGTTTGGCTAGAGATATAAACAGAAAGACAAAGTTCTCTTCTTTTATATATGTTGGCATTTTTAATAACAAATCCACTGGCACAGATCACAGCCATTCTTTAACTTAGTAGATGATTTTTGAGAGGTTCTGTGATTGAAAAATCAGTTGTCCTGTGTCTCTCCATACGTACCCAGGCTGGGCCTTGGACAGCAGATACATCCCTGGGCAAGTCCTCGAAACCTTTTGAGTGTGGTGCAGCACCTGCCGGACCTCTCCCTTGGCTGTTGTAACATCTGAGAGCCCTTCGTGCTTGATGATGCCTCAGAATACGAATGCCCACAGCTAAAAGGAGGGAGTGGGGATGGGAATCAGACAGCCTAACCGGCTCACTGCCTTGACTTAAAGAGCTAATTAGAAGACTGTTGCCTTGGGGTTTTTTTATTTTCTAAACAAGCATTAATGAATGTATTGGACTCCTGCTGATAGAAGTGATTTTGGTTTTGGTTTTAGTGCCTGGTTGTCTGGCTATGAAGACCCTGTGGTGTCTCGAATCAACATGAGAATACAGGACCTGACCGGACTGGACGTCTCCACGGCCGAGGAGCTCCAGGTAGGTCACCCAATTAAAAAGGAATGTGCTACCCCGGCCCCGTAACTCTGCTTCAGGGACCTTTCATCTTTGCCATTCCTAAAGAAATCCTTCTTGATACATTTCCCAATACCACATTTAAAAACAGGTACGACTTGTCTTTTTAATGTCACCTGTTGCTCAGGCTCCAACAGGCAGGTGAAAGAGGCTCCACCATAGGAGAATTCACAAGGTGACTTAGGGATCTCTGTCTTTTTTGACATTCATTGGATCAAAGCACTCGTCTTTCTAATGTATTCTTAAGACTTGTTCTGCTCCTGCAGTAGTGTGTGTGTGTGTGTGTGTGTGTTTGTGTGTGTGTGTGTAAATATATATTTTAAAGGACTGTGGGGGGAAAGGAATGGTGTATTTGCAGAGTCCAAGTATAGAAGCTTAAATTTACAACACACACACATCCTGAGAATGTCTAGGAGGTCTGTGGACCTTATGTTCAGTTATTCCTTCATTCTTTTTTCCCTGCTCTGGTCTTCACAGGGACCGCTAGCTAATACCTCTCTGCTCAGTATCCTGCCTTTGGTTTTTGGAGCATGGAAAGGATAGCCTAGCATGGAAAGAAAACTATAACTACTTGACTGGGGACATCCAGCAGAAAGGATTGTGTGTGTGTGTTTACTTCTTCCCTGTTTTCAGTTGTTTTTCAGTCATGTCTAACTCTTTGTGACCCTATTCAGGGTTTTCTTGGCAAAGACTGGAATGGTTTGCCATTTCCTTCTCCAGCTTATTTTACAAATGAGGAAACTGAGGCAAACAGGGTTAAGTAACTTGCCCAAGGTCATACAGCTAGTAAGTGTCTGAGGCTGGATTTGACCTCAGGAAGATAAGCCTTCCTGACTTCAGGGTCAGCACTCTATGTACTACCTTAAATGGAAAAAAAACCCCCACAACTGGCAGGACAAGGACCTAGTTTGAGTAGAAAACAAAAGCAGTTGGGAATTCGTCACCATTTTGGACTTGAGAAGAAGCCTTGATCTTCACTGAATGTTTCCTTTGAGATTTTAGTGCTAAGCCATGATGTTGCAGCTGCACTGATTTATGAGTGAGGGCACTGAGAAAGAATTGGCTTTTCCCAAATTTTGGCTGAAAGTGACCATGAACAATTCAAAGGTAGCACACAATAAATGCCTCCTATTCTCTCACCGACTCCCCAGGAACTGTAACTGCTTTTAGCTATGTCGCTTCTCATTTTACCATAGGTAGCCAACTACGGCGTAGGAGGCCAGTACGAGCCTCACTTTGATTTTGGAAGGGTAAGTCCAGCTATTATTATATTTTGTTCTTTATGTGCATTGTTTCTCTTTTTCAGGTGGCAAATTATGGAGTGGGAGGACAGTATGAACCCCACTTTGACTTTGCACGGGCAAGTAAAAAGATTAAGGGGTGAAAATAATCCACTAAAGTGTAGGCGATACACAGTGTTTCTCCACATTCTTGCTATTATTACTATTTTTAAAAAATTCCTTGGCCTACCACCTCTTTCAAATTATTTGAGTGAAGCTCACTAAACCACCAGGGGAACAGATAAATGAAGGGGGTCACCATTTAACTCATAAGTTACATTCAGTCAAGAATGTTGTGGTGAAAATGATGCATTTTATATTAAAAAAAAAAAGTCCAGAACCAGTTAGATGTGTGTTGTTCCCTTCTAAGTCTCAAATACTTTCTTCTGAGCATTACTGGTAAATTGGACCTAACTTGATTGGAATAAAATTAAATTGAAAATATAAATGTTACTTTCAATTAGAAAAAAGTACCAGAAAAGAGGTCTTTTGCCTTCCAGTTGCTTGGATTTCCTGGAGTTTATTGTGCTTTTGACTAAACTCAAATCTGTCTTCTTTACGAAAATAAATTTTTGTGATTTGCACATGTAGCTATTACTAAAACACCACTGCTGAATTCTGGTGACTTTGGGTGTCTGTGCATTAATATAAGGTGGACACTAATGTGGTCTACTGACTGTCTACTAACCATCATGAAATGTGTTTTGCTGGAAATCAGTAGGATGAAAAAACACTGTTGTTTTCTTGATTATGGTAGAAACTAATGCACATACATATTAATTGCATGAATCAGCTTCTGAAATGGTCTAAAATTCATATAAAGCAAATTAATTCACATGTGAATGAATAACAGGAGCATATCCCTTGATTGTGGAGAAACAAAAACAATTTGAAGGTAAATCAGTAAAGATGAGCTTTGTTCTTTTGTTGTACCCAGCAACAAAATTGGTACTGTTCAGTACATAGCATATAATCTTATCATTGCCTCATAGTCTACTTAATGAAGGGAGGGAGAAGGTGTTTACAGTATTGTCATGAAATAGTAATTCCTCCATTTTTCAGACAATTTATGCTTAGGTTTACTGCACAAATATTGTTCCCTTTTATCTTCCAAAACAAAAACCACATTTTAAAGTCCAGTTGTAAAATCGGGGGTCATGGAATCTTTGAGATTAATAGGTATTATCTAGTTATATTCTTCCTTGCATCGTGAATCTACTCTAGGAATAGAAATCTGCCAAAATCAGCCCACCCTTCTGTTGTGGACAGCTGTTAGGGAGTCCTTTTGAGGCCTAAATCTGCCTGTCTTCTTAATAGCTAATTTTAATTAGTAAGCCTATTTTTTTTATTCCACATGACAGATAAATAGTTGAAGACAAAGGCTGTGGCTCTTCTAATTCTTCTCTGCCCTATAGTAAACATCCTCAGTAATTCTGACTGATCCTCCCATGTTATAGTTCCGATCGAATGGCTTCTTTCTCACCTTCTAGAAATGCTTCAGTTTGGGGTGCCATGTTTTGGAAAGGTGACAAGCTGAACACAGTGTTCCAGATGGGTTCTAACTAGTACAGAATATGGTGGGACAATCACCTCCCTTATTATTCAAGTAATATAATTGCATTACAGGCTGCTACACTGTCTGTCTTGCTGCTCAGTCTCTGATTAATTATACAGAATTATGAGAAATAGCACGCCTTGTCCTGTTGTGCCAAATATTTCAATTAACTTTTTTAGACTCCTTAATGTTTAAAAACAGCTTGGACTTTGCAAAAAGAATTTCATCAGCCTTTGTGGTGCACAACTCTTCAGTGGTTTAAGCAAAATTCCTCGATGCCATATCTGTTTGTGCCAGCAAAAACACATTTCTCAACCCTTATATCTTAACAAGCTAAAAATGACTCATTTTAAATGACTATGTAAATATGGGATTTAAGCAGTAACATGAATTGACCCTACTCTCTGTAAAAGTAGATTTAAGTTACATTTTCCTATAGAGAGATTAAAATGCTAGCTGTCCACAGTGAAAGATAATACCGAGTAACTTAATTTTTCTGAAAATTTGCCGTTGGGTAGGCCTGGTGGTAGAAAGTGTCTTGAACTTTTTAGCCTACAAAAAAACTCCAGAGTATGACCTACTTATACTTCCCCTGAAATGTCTTTTGGTAACTGCCAGAGGAAGATTAAATCCTTCAGTTGTGGAAGTTACTTCTGTCCTTTAGAATTTCAAAGAATTTTCTAATCAAAGATCAATTGTATGAGCAGCATAAATCTCTAGGCAGCTTTTAAAAAAATAGGTGATAGGCCCCATATATGAGCACTGTTCAGAAAAAAAAAACTTCCTTTTACTATAGGCTGTCATACTTAGGAAGTTGGATTTGCATCTTCTTTGTTTTGTTTCTAATTGGTGTAACATGGGTAGGAAGTGATGGTAGATAGTCTTTTTTCTTTTTCTGTTAGTATTTTGGTTTAAAAAGAAGTATTTAGCATACATATATATTGAAATGGTACAACTTTACAAATGTCAGTCAGATGTTGTGTGGAAAGCTCCGAGTATGCAAAGGAAACTCTGGTATTTTGGCAGAAGCTTCAGCCTTCGAGTGATCAGTTGCCGGTGTGTTGGTTATTTGGTTCCCAAAGGTTGACATCTATTTAACCTTCTCCACCTTATCCACAGAAAGATGAACCAGATGCTTTCAAAGAGCTGGGCACAGGCAATAGAATCGCTACCTGGTTGTTCTATGTAAGTTCCCCTTGGGCTTTTCTGCTCTCTCTGGGAAAGTTGGTATGGGTCACATTCTATTAGAACAAAAAAAATCTCTGCATGACAAGGGTTTCTCTATTATTTTGGGCACTATTTGACGTGACTTTGACCCAGCCAGTGAATTGACAATGTCATAGAGTTTGTTTATACCATAGTTTAATGTCATAACATTTCGTTTCATATCTCTTTTGTTAATACTGAATAATAGTATTAGCCTTTACATAGCACTTTAAGGTTTGCAAAGCACTTTACATACACTTTCATTTGATCCTTACAACAATCCTAGGAGGGACATGTTATTATCCCCATTTTACAGAGGAGGAAACAAAGGCTGAGAGATGAAGTGACTTGCCTAGGGTCATATAGCTGAGTAAGTACCTGAGGCAGGATTTGAACTCAGGTCTTCCTGACTGCAAGACCCAGTATTCCACTGTGCCACCTAGCTGCCTATAAGTTGGCTACATTAGTCTTACTAAAGCAAGTTGACTTTTAACATCTTTGTTTAAGGTCTTCACGTGAATTGAGTAGAGACAGATGCTTTATTTTCCCCTCATTTGAATCATAACAGTAACAGAAACATCACAAATTCTAAATATTTCAAAGCTAATAATCCATGTATGATATGTGGTAGTCAATCTCAGTATTTGATTAACCAGTTACTCCATTCTGCTTATCTTGAGTTTATCACTCTTTTCTCTGGAGATAGTGGGTAAAATAGTGAAATTGGTCTCCCCCTTCCCCCCAAGTTGGCACAACTTGAAAATCTAAGTGCTTCAGATGACTCCGGATGGAGCTTCCAAAGTCTGTTTAGATGCTAGTGGGCTTTCAGTATTTAGCTCTGCAGAATCCTGGCAGATTCCATCATCCTGTTTTTGTGTCTTTTGTAGATGAGTGATGTGTCAGCAGGGGGAGCTACTGTCTTTCCTGAAGTAGGAGCCAGTGTTTGGCCCAAGAAGGTAAATTCTGCCTTTAAACTCTAATTGCTGATCAGTTAAGGAGCTGTGCTTTTTAAATTCAGTTAAGGTTATGTGTTTTTGTGAGGTGTGTCTGCTGAAGCATGCAGTTGTATGCATGTGTCTATGTGAGGTGGGAAGAAGACTGAGGGTCTGCGTTTTAAATCTTCAGACCTAGAATGGGAGAGAGGCTCCTTTGGGACCCAGAGGGTGGTGGGGTGACCCTCGCCCCCCCAAAAAAGAAGAAAGCTGAAAGTTTTTGTTCCCACTGTGATCTCTTCCTGGGGCTCTCCCTTGGTGCAGATTGCAATCCTGTCTCGCCTTCTCATCTTGTTCAATTCTTAAAAGTTTAGGATTTTCAAGTCCTAAGGATTTAACTCTCTAAGACATGGATATAACAGGGGTAGGGGAGACATGGCTTTGCTTGAGAAGAATCCTCCTGTATAGAAATGCAAAGAAGTTTGTTCTAAATGTCCAGGGAAGGGATGGCCTGACTTATGTGCTATCAAAATGAGTTTGGTTTTTTTTTCCTCCCATTTCCCAGGGAACTGCAGTGTTCTGGTATAATCTATTTGCAAGCGGAGAAGGCGACTATAGTACCAGGCATGCGGCCTGTCCAGTACTAGTTGGAAACAAATGGGGTAGGCATCTTATCTCCTAGTTTTGTTGAAGATTTGAAACTTTGCCCCACACAGTAAAATACAATTGAGTATAACTTTTTGGGGTATAACTTCCTGTGAAGTCATTGGTATAGTTAACACCTCCTACCAAGAGCAATTTGTTACCTGTTCTGCACCTTGGGGGGAGTGCTATGGACAAGAGATATGACCTGCAGGGTCAGGCAGCCAGACCTGAGGCTGTGTCAGAGACGAGAGTCAGGTCAGCTGTCCTTTTACACTGCCTTAAAGAGGGCTTGTTATTTTCCATAGTGTCTTTTTAAAAATGGATGTTATCCAGGAAGAGAAAGGGACAGGTAATTTTAAAACTTCATAGAAATTGAACTGAGGAAATCCTAAAGTTACATGGCACATAATCTGTCTCACTTCTGGATTCATTAGTAGTGTCTTTGGGTTTGGGGCCATGACATTTCTTGCCTTCGGTATTCATAGCTTAAAACAGTGGCAGTGGCTGGGGCTGTGCGAAGTGGGATTGAACAGAAACTTGTATTGCCTGTAAACAAACAAACGTAGAGGAATCAGTTAAGCAGATAAGTAAGTGGATAGCAAAGGACTCTGAGTTCTGAAGGCTCCTCTGCTAATGCAGGGAGACTTTTGACTACCGCCTGCAGTCTCTTTTCTGAACATAGAACTTAGATTCATGTGCCCTTCACAGGAACACAAGGGTGGTTGCTTTAGAGCTTGATTTTAAAAAGCAGCCAACACTAGGAAATGAAAACAAGCTCAATGTCTAGCAACTTTTTTCCCCCTGTTTTCTTTCTTATTCTTAGTGGCAGATCAGATTTTAAAAAAATTCTTAGCCAGGTTCTGATTTCTTAAATTTTAGCCCACATTGGATTTTTATTGATGATTTACCTCTTAGAGGTCAAATAAATGGGAAGAGTTCAGAAGAATAATAGAATTTGGCACTTCGAAGAGCCTCATAGAGGTCTTCCTTCAGGACCTGGGCTGCATCAGCTTGTTTTTGTTTATTTTACTAGTTTGAAAATTGAATTTCAATGTGATTTTTTTTGTAAGCTTATATATTTTATTTATTTAAAAACTTGATTCTGAGAAGAGGGTTGCCCGTAGACTTCACTAGACATTGCTAGAGGGGTCCATGACACACACAAAAGTTAAAAGGCTGGTTCGGTTTTTCAGATGACAAGACTGAGGTCCAGGGAAGTCACGTCCCTTGTCCAAAGTCACCCAGGGGCAGTACTGTAGATGTGGAATTAGAACCTAGCGCCTCCAAATCTGGTGCTCCGACCGCTATCCCGTGCTATTCTTCATAGAAACATGAGGCAAATGGAGGCTGGGGAGGCTGGAGAAAGGCGAAGAAGAAATAAACTCTTTTTTTTTTTTCCTCTCCTAGTATCCAATAAATGGATTCACGAACGCGGACAGGAATTCCGAAGGCCATGCACCTTGTCAGAGTTGGAATGATACAGACTTTCCCCATTCCCTTCCTTCTTCCTAGCCTTTAAATATGTGTGTTGTCTAGTACACACTTTTCCAAATTTAGCAGTTTACAATTGACTAACAACACTCCGCTACAGATGCAGTCTCGAACCTCATCCCGTGTTTCATCTGTGGACCATCTCCTACTTTTTTTTTCTTTCTAAAGTAATACAAATTAATACCCATTGTGCGTATATAAAACCTTAGGGTTTCACAAGATGGGACAACACCAAGTCAGGGTCTCGCATAAGAAGATAATAAGACTGTTATAGGATATACCCTGAGGAAGTTCTTGACTTTCAAAGAAATCTAGCGTGTGGATGTCAAACTATATGATGACTCTCTTCCAATCTATGAATGGCGGGCTAGGCATGGGCATGCTGATTTTTGAGAGCAACTTCTTTGGGCATGCGAATCATGTTTACCTAACTAACCCCTTCGCTTCATCCTTTCATCCTTAAGAGTCTGCCTGAAAGCAGGAGGTATAATGTGACTGCCCTCTACACTTGGTAGAGTGTAGAATTTATCCCACCTATATGCCAGCCTGAGCTCTCCTGCCTTCAAAAAGAGATTCTGACACATCATTAATCTCCATCGTCTCTCACCGACCCCAGAAGTGCATTTGACTTTAAATGAAAGACTCAGATCAGATTGGTACCTGAAGTCCTTTAGCAGGATTGCCAAATAACTTCCTAAGTATTGACTCTTCCTAAAATCCCAAGACTTTGTTGTTTCTCCTATCTTCCTGAATCATTGTGACCATACAATTGCTGCTCTTCTCACATCTTAGTGTTAATGCTTTGCCAGTTATTCCTGCCAGAACAGGATGGTAACATTAGCATTTTGAATCAACAAGTGTGCCTTAGGAGACTGGAAAGTTAATGTACAAGACCTTTAAATAATGAGGTAAAATTACAAGCATTGAAAGCGTTTTCTTCCTGAAAAGCCAAATTGTTTGCTTTTTCAATTCTGAAATGTTTTGTGACAATGACCTATTATTTATAATCTTAAATCTTTTTTTTTAAATATTGCTGGTTCTGTGTGTTTCTTTTGTTTGAATGCATCTCAAACGAGGTGCTCACCTCTCTCTTTTGTGGCATCCCCCTGGTATGGGACATGGGGTGGCCTCTGCGTACTCTTGCTTTACCCTCATTCTGATCCTGCTGAGTTATCAGAGACCTTATCTTGGAAAATATGTGGTCATGCCTTCAGGAAGTTTTCAAAGACTTAGTAACTTTTTTTTTTTTGGGTGAGGGCAATTGGGGTTAAGTGACTTGCCCAGGGTCACACAGCTAGTGAGTGTTATGTGTCTGAGAGCGGATTTGAACTCAGATCCTCCCGACTCAGGGCCCGTGCTCTATCCACTGCACCACCTAGGTGCCCTGACTTAGTAACGTTGTAATCTGAGTGAGTTCTCACAAAGATTTCTCTCACTTTAATGTAGTTACAGGCATGGTGATGGTAATGGTACTCAGATGCCTTTTTTTTCTATTTTTAAAAATATAGTTTTGTATGATCCTGGGCAAGTCACTTAACCTCTTACTATGCCAAACAGCTCTCTACAATTATAGATTACAGAGAAGGCGCCAACCTGTACTGGTCAAGAGAGTTTCCACACCTGGGAGTTTCTCAACCAGTGAAATCACAGGTGCAGTCCCTGTCCTGTGCTGTTATAAAACTGTGGGAACCTAATGAAGTATGTTAATTGGGTCTTATCTGAATTTTCTAGCAACATGTACAAATATTCTTCTAGCTAATCTAATTCATACAAAGGCTTTTTGTGGCATTGACAATCTATTAGACTCATGCTTAATCTAATACCATTTTTAGAGCTTTTCATCATCACCAAATCTTTGGGCAATAATTAAATATTCAGAGAAGAATGTGATTGACCCCCCTGGAAAATGTAGCTGTCATTTTTTGCTCTTCTTCTGTCAATTTAATGAATTTACTTTCTTCCTTTTTAATAGAAACAAAATGAGATTTAAATATGACTTTTCATTTAGCGAGTAAATTCTGAACAAGTCACATGAATTACAGTGACTATGACCACCCCCACTTTTGGAAATACTGTAAATGTCAAGTATGGAAGTAAAATTGGGATATAGGCTAATTACATCCAGTATATCTTGTTGGACTCGAGAATTTATTATTGAAATATCTAAATAGACCAGAATCAATCACAGCAAAAAGTCTCATTTCTCTTAATTTTATAAACCTTATCACAACTGTGACAGTTGGTAAAACATGTTCTAAAATCATTCTCAGGATGAACATTTTGCAGCACCACCCTCAACTTAGATCACTACCTACATTTGTTCATTAAATAAGAGACACAATATTTTTATTTAAAAAAAATTTTTTTTAAGACTGGTCTCCCTATGGTGCCCAGGCTGGAAATGTGGAGGCAACTCAGGTCGAATCTCAGTATGAGCACAGAGTAAGCTTTGGACTGCTCTATCTATGTCTGTCTCTTGGACAATTTTCCTCCTCCCCCTCAAACTCCCGACTCCACAGGCTTACCATAATGTGCCATAATATACAACAACAGGACTTCGAATAAATATTAAACAAAAATAAAAGGCTACTTTTATTTTGTCCAAGACACTATGCTGGAGTTGAAGGGAAATTCAAAGATAAAACAGGAACCTGTCCTAAAAGAACTTGTAATTTAGGGTGAAATCAGTTATACAGAGAAACTTTAGAAGCAAAGGGAGATAAGTATGAAAAAAATTCAAATTTTAATCTTAGAAACTCAGGACAGAAAGCAACATAATGATGCATCTCTTTTCCTTTATTTATATTGATTTACTCAGACTGTATAGATAAGAGCAACTGCTCTAGGTGATAGCATATAGGAAAATAGATTAATCAGAAGCCAAATAAGACAAGCAATTGTTTGAATGACTAGCTCTCAACAGTATATGAAAGAGGTCCTTTCTTCACACTCTGCTCATGTACACGTGTATCATCCCATTTCTCTCATAGCCACCTGCCTTAGAGAAGTGGTTTTTTTTGCTCGTTGTCCTTTCTTAACTATTTTAAGGACTGCAGAATTTAGAGCTCTGTGTCTGTGTGAACACAGCCTTCTGTGAAATATGACTGGTGACTGGCAGGTGATTGACTTCACTGTCTGATTTCTTTCCTAATTTTTCAAAAAGTAGAAGTAGAGTTTAAAATAAAAGTCCTCCACATTCTCTTGAAGTTACATTGCTTTGTGGGGCTTTATTAATACTCATTAGAATTATTAAATTTCAAATACATTGATATGGGAATTTCTTGATAGGATATAATCAACCTGTATTTTTGGGTTTCGTCCCTAAAACTGCATTAAAGTCTCAACTAGACTAACGTCTAATTGCTGAAGTTTTTTAAAAGTGCTGAAGTTTTAAAAAAAGTTATAATTGTTGGTTATATTTGGGATTGAAACCTCTAAAGAGAAACAATAAAATGACAGGTAAAGGCTGTGTACTACCCACCTTTCAGTAAGTACCAAGGAGCCAACGTTCTTCTTTCAGCGTTCTGACCTTGGGAGGGAATGATAGACTGTTCCCTTCACAGGTATGAATGGCAAGGGCCATGTGTTCCACATCCTGATACCAAGGCTATTCGCAGCTAACCTTATTTGTATGAAGCATGCTTAGAAGAGAGCATTAGTCATAAGGATTTCTGGATACTTTGAATTCATTTGGAGCCCCAGTCATATCCATCTCTATCATCTCTGTTAGCCTTGCTGTGATCAAATAATAGAGGGTAGGAGTTTTTATTTGCCTGTGTATATACTCCGAGGCTGAAGGTATTAGTTCTTTTATGTGCATGTTGTATAGATTTGTTACCAGAAATGTCTTTTTTTTCCCTAAAAGAACTTCTGAATCTTTTTTTTTTCCTGAAAGAGGAAATATTTTTTCTCTTTTATAGATGAAAGCTATTTCTCAACCCTCCCTGTTCAGCCCTTTCCCTCCACTCCCCCCACACCTACTCCAACTCCCTCTATCTCCTCAGATCCCACCTTCAATTTTTCTATCAAAGTTAGTGCTTTACATAATGTCCTCTTTTGATCCTTATAACCCCCTGAGCTAGCTTATCCCCTTTTTATCAAAATGAGGAAACCCAGTATTGATTGAGAAAGCTTAATGACTTGCCCAAGGTTTAAACAAGTGAAGGCCTGGTTATCAGCCTCCAAATGCAGTATTCTTGCCACTATGCTGAGCTGCCTTTTTTTTTTTTTTTTTTTTTTTTTTGCATACCACCTCCCCTGCAGTCATGCCAAGTTACCAAGTCATTGTCAAAAGCCTAGGGTAAAGGAGAATTATGTTTGTATTGAAAGGCTAGCTACCGGACTTCATCTTCTTTGGCCAGGCAGAAAACAGTATGCTTAATCCTGTCTCCATTTTAGGATCAGTCCTAAATCAGAACAAAGACAAGTTGTTCTTTAAGTAACCTCTCAAAAGGGGAAACATTTATTCATTAACTTGAGGAACTAGGCCTGCCAATTCAACAGATATTTAGGAAATGTCCTCTATGTGCAAGACAATATAATGGGTGGTAGAGGAGGGGGCCAAGAACTACGTGGTCTCTGCACTCAAGGAACTGAAAGTCATCACGTGTTCAGATTTTAAAAATGATTTTCATTGTAAACTATTGTCATATTGGTTCTTTGTTCCTGCTTATTGTGCTTATAGCATCCTTAAGACATCACTAAAATTGTATCTGTTCTCACAGGTTCAGGAATACTATGTATTTTTTGAACTTTCATCTTTTGCATTAATCCAACATAAAATGGCAGCTCTTCAGATTTTATTACTTCCAGCCAGAGTTACCAGTCACAGCACTTATTCAGAGAAGAAATAGCACATCTAAAGTTGTCACCTTCTGTCTTTTCAATATGCTCAAACTATTCATAGTTTAAGCCAAATTGTTCAGGTTTTCCGTTTGAGTGTACCTCGTAAAAAAGACATTTCAGCCTTTGACTTGCTTGTGAGATATGTAAGTAATTGGGGGGGGGTAGGACAGAGCTGTGTGGTTGATGGCTAATTGGTTTGTTTCTATACATTGGTTATATTTTATTGATTTCTGCTCTCAGGAGAGTAGGATATTAGGACATGACATAATTCTTCCTCTGATCACCACCAGAAAAAGAAAGCCTTGGCCACAGCTGGAACACTTTCTCATCAGGACAATCAGTTTTAAATAATTAAGCCTGCAAAACCCTGATGTCAGGGTTTTGGTGTGAGTGTAGGGAGGAGAAGCTTAGAACTTAATAAAGAAAATCTGTCATATGACATGTGTGACCACAAAGGTGGGCTGCTCAAGTATTGGGAATAAAAGATAACAGATGGTCTGCTCCAACACTAAAATAACATTCCTGCTTCATTAAGTAAATAAGAGGAAGGCATCAATCTCCTGAGGTGGCTCTTATGTGGAACATCATGGGAAAGGCATGGACAGGACTCTTAAAAGGTAGGAAGATGCGGCAGGATGTGGTCTGCCTCTGCAGAGAAAATAACCATAAGAATAAAATCACAAATCACTCAAAGTATGAGGCTAAGCCTAAAGGTTCCAGTCTCTTTCCAGGTTCATCCCCCAGTATGCTGCAGACAAACAACTCGCCTCTTGAATAGAACATGCACATGCTGGGCCTTGTACATGAATCTGACCAGAACTCGTGACTTCCAAATCATTTGTCAGGATTTCTCCTGATGGTCTCCAGCCCCAAGGCTGTGATCTTGTGACCGCTATGACTCACTGTAATCCTCTACTGTATTCTCCTTGTAAAAGCTGGTGCGCAGTATTTGTTGAATTGAAAGACTTCTCACTTCCCCCCCTCCCAATGGTCGTAGGATCTAGACTGGGGGTGTCGAACTCGAAAAGGAACAGGGCCACTAAACTTTATACCAGGATGCCTGTGGGCCATATTAGCTTAGAAAACCACATATTAACATATTTTGTTATGTTTTTATTTTTGTTAAATGTTTCCTAGCTACATTTTAATGTGGTTCCAGCAGCACTAGGGAGGTTTGTAAAGA